GGGGGTTGGCAGACCGAGGACCCAAATCATACATAGGGTGTAGGTTTGGGGGAATGAATAAGCATCGCAGGGCTAAACAGCGATGACAACAGGGTATGGTGGCATCTGGTGATTTTGCAACAGATGCACAGGCTTGGGGCTCAGGTACCATTTCTCAGCTTTTCTTTTCTGCTTGTGACATGGAAGCGTGGCCTTTCTGGCAGCAGATGGCAGGGTTAGGTGACCGAATGCTCATGACCGTCATAAAAAAAATTCAGACAGACCTGCTACTCTGCTTGAATTTGCTGACAAGAATCGTTTCTTGACTGTCATCTTGCTTTCAATTGCTTCGCGTTTGACAGGTACTACATAGTTGACATAATTTCATGCGCGTTCCCTGCCTACCCGTTCGCACATACGTTGCATTGAAGATTGTGAGAAAACATCAGTCAGCTTGGGCCGCACAGCTTGCTGCCCGCTGTATGTTGATAGCTCGCTTAGCTCTCGCTCATGTTTGCCTGGAGCGGCGGCTCATGCTGAGGCTGTGACCTCGCACAGAATGTACTGCAGCCTGTCAGGGCTGATGTGGACAAACTATTTGCTAGACCTAAATGCACACGCTCGCCCGGCGCCCTTGACAATCTCAAGTCTCGCTTGGATGAAAAGTATGAGACAGTGAATCTTGTCAACTTCCTCCAACCCCAAGAATGTGAAATGAATGAATGATCACTCTCACTGTCACACGAGAAAACGGGCGTCCATGTTTTGTTCCAAACTGGTAGGTCCCAATATTTTCGTCAGGAAAGATCCCAAATATGTGTCGAGATACTTGCCAAATGGGTTTGCAGGCAAACGTTTCGCTTCCTGCCCCGCCACATGATGCAAAGCTCTGTTGCACGAGTACGTGGCGCACTCAAAATGGAACGGAGGCCGATCGGGGCAGCTGCTAGCACGATGAGCTGGATTGCGTGGGAGCTGCGCGTCAAAAGAAGCGTACGTGACTGTCAAACTCAGCTATGAACTCGAATGCAAAAGTTGCACTCAGACAATCCCCGATGCAGGCATGCTCCAGGGAACTCCTGAGGGGACTTGGTTTTGGTTGCCGTCTTTTGGAGGAGGTGGACGATCGGGCAGACACGGAAGGCCCGTGCTCTTGCACCTTCCGGCATGCAAGAATCTTTTTTTTCCTATCACAGGTGCTGCTACGCAGCTCAGATCCACTCAACGGCAGAAGGTGCCCCAGCGTGTGCCTCTGTTAAGGGAGCCTTGCTTGTGACACCGCAAACACTGCCACACTCGCCCGATTAAACGAACATCGTGACTAGCATGGATGCCCCATGCACTGCAGTACATCTCACAATTTCTGGCCAGGCATGGGCTAGCTAGGAGGTGCTGCATCCTGCGCTTGGGGTGCTGGAGAGTCACATTGACAGCACAGTTCGCGCACTCAATCCCCTGACGCATCGGTGGAAGGTTTCGGCCCCGGCTCCCGCAAGCTTCCAGAAGCTCGAACTGCGGGCATCGCATTAGAGCCGCTGCGTGTCCAGGTGCTGACGCTTGCGTGCCTCATAGTGGAGGGACTCCCAAACAGTCTTCAGGGGCAGATCCGTCAAAAGCTCGGTTTTTGTAGCTTCACAACACTCTGCGGAAGCATAGGCACCATCACACGCTGACGTTGAGGTTGGCACGAGCACATGTTCACATGTGAGTGTTCCAAGGTGGCAAAGAGCTTGCCGCGCTCCAGCGCCCCAGCTCCATCACACTACATCAACCGGATGAAATGCGGACAAGGCGGGGCCACAGTGTCTCAGTGCACGAATAGCAGGAGGTTCCCCAGCGGCTCACCCAAAAAATGTGCAGCTGGTGAGCCCTCTCATTTTGTTTCAGCGTGCGTTTTAGAGTGCTGAGGGCTCTTTGGCCAGCATCAGTAATCAGCATCAATTTTCCTGTTCAGAGTTTTGGGCAGGAGGGTCACGAGTCAGGCTCTTGGGCCTTTGGTTTTTTGCATGTTTTCTTGTGGCTTCAAGGCACCCTGTGTGGCCCTGCGAGTGGTGTGCTGAGATTGTTGTACATCTGACCTCTGCCTGGTAAGGGTGAAAAGAAGAATCACCGAATATCTGAACTTCTGCCAGGAAAGGGGAAGAGGCTGCAAGTCGTTCAGCTAGGGACTCAGGGGGAGGCCCCCAGCATCTCCTTGCCTGAGATTCTTGTCTGATGTCTTGGGCAGGATTTTGGAGTTCTTGGGCTTTCGGGCGGCATTGTGGAGATGCTGCCTCGGCTGGCAGCAAGAGCCGCAGGAAGCCGCACAATTTCCTCTAACGGACTCCAAAAAAACCCATTAAGTTTATGTGCGCAGCGTGCGGAGCGTGCGCAGCGTGCGGAGCCCTGGTTTGCATGCTGGGCCTCCTCCAACTCCTCCAGCAGCAAAATGGCCTGAGACAAGACGACAAATTCACCAAAAGCTCCCAGCTTCCCCCTGCCACAGCACCTTTCCCGCGCTCAGGTCCGGCTGGTCCGCCTCTGGCGGATCCGGCTTCCGGTGCAATGTTGTACTCCTCATTTGAGAAGAGAAACGCTTAGTAGCGGCGACTCGTAGCGCCTCTCTCGCCTCTCGGATTCCACAAGTAGAAGGCTCTCCGCATACTGGTTGGAGTGATTGGCAGTCCAAGTCCTTGCGTCAATGGCTCGAAGCCCCTTTGCTGCTTTGGAGCTCTGTGCAACCAACAGATAAAGATCGGAAATGGCCCTTACATCATCGGCCAGGATGCAAGACGGCTTCTTTGATGTGAAGCCGGTCCATACAAATACTTTCTGAAGATGGGTTTCGGAAATCTCCCTTCCCATGCTCTTCTTATCACTGGATGGTCCCCGAAAAGTTGGCCAGCATCGGCGAACCCATGCCTTCACAGTGCATGTCAGGGATGGGGTTCCAGCACTTGAGGCATAGGACGCTTTGCTTGCGCTTGCTAGCGTGAGGAGTAGACTGCGATTGAAGCCAGCCGACTCCCTGCCACAACACACTGGCATGGGTGGAATGCTACCGCCTTCCAACACCCCAGGCTCCCGACGTCTTCTTTTCCAACTCCTCAGGCAAACCGCATTCACTGCAGCTCTCTAAACTCCGCTGAGCAGAAGCAGATATCTGTGCTTCCCTTCTAAAACATGTTTGAGTGCTTTTGTTCTCCTTCGTCTTTCACATTCCAAGCGCATGCGTCTGGTTGCCCTTTGCAACAACTCCGACAACAGGTGCAGGAACCACCCACAAGGAGCTCATGCAGCTTCAGAACGCAACATAAACGAGAACCTAAAATGTAAAGCCTCCTGGTTTCTCGGCCCGCATGCCTGATGCAGAATTATGAGGGGCAAGCCGAGGACAACGAAATCTAGCCGGGTCGTGAGCACTTGAGTGCACGAGGAGGAGGAGCAGGAGGAGGAGGAGGAGGAGGGAGAGGAGGAGGAAAAGCGAAGAGTAATACGACAACGAAGTATGAAAAGGCTGGCACAAGAATCACGCGCGGGTAGTGAACACCACAAAAGGGACGTTTACGTGAGCATGCAAGCTCGTGAGCGGCACATGAGGAGAGAGGTTTGATGCAACGACCCCAGCATGATGCTTGCTCATACACAAGAGGGTCAAAGAGGGTAGTGATCATACAGAAGGACGAGGGAGGTTTGTTGCAACCACCAGGCATGATGTTCCCTTCACCATGACCAAGCAAGGGTTCAAGAAGAGTAGGGAGGTTTGATGCAATCAGTCCTACCAGGGCCACACACAACAGTAGTGAACACTGCAAAGGAGTCCATGGCGATTAAATCCAGCCACCAATCATGATATTACGCGTACCATGGACACAGAAGGGTAGTAAATACGGCTAGGGAGGTTCGATGTTTCCACAACGGCAGCGAACACTCCAGTCAGAGTAGGGAGACTTGCGGCGTGCATGCCATTTGTATCATGACCTTGCAAGGGCACGGACCAATATACCACAGAGGGAGTAAAGAGGCCTGATGCAACCACCAGGCCTACAGTGGTACTGTCATTTGTACCAGACCATGCAAGGGTCGGGTAGCGAATGCTACCGCGGGAGTAGGGAAGTTTTTCGCAACCAGCAGGCATGTCGTTATTCGTGCCGTGAACATGCAGGGGTGCAGAACGCTACAGAAGGTGAGAGATTTGGTGCAACCACCAAGCATGACGATATTCTTACGCTGACCATGCAATGGTACTTGCGCCCACGGAGGGAGGGGGGGACGAAAGCTTAGAAGCAAGGTGCAAACTGGTGCGTCCTTTTTTTTCATGAAGCGTCGGAGCGCGAACGGCCTCCGCGTGCCCAAGAACAGCTTCCAGCGTGCCTCAAAATCTGCCGTCTGGCGTCCCTCCTGCCGAGAGGGTCTGGACTGCAAAACATGGCCAAATTTGGCAACTTTTGTGGGCTTCCCCTCCCCCACAGATCAGCAAAGCTGGGTGCAAGACAAAACTTGCGAAGCTTTCGTAACTAAACAAAAGAGGAGTAGCGGAGGTTTGATGTAGGCACTGAGCATGGGGAGAGCGTGTTAGCGCAAACATGTCAAGTAACCCGTGCGCGAACAGATGAATTCATTGGTAGATCCCTCCCATACTAAGAATTGATAAGATGACAGCTTTGATTTCAAAAAGCTTAGATTCGTGTGCCCCCAGTATTACTCCTAAAACAAAAAACGACCCAAGCCTGGCGACATTTAGCAACACTAGCTGTCATGACTCGAGACTGAGATCCCGCCAATGCACCTGGCTTCTTGTCGTCTTATGCTGCGATTTTTGTTTGCCCAGCTCGCAAGACAAAACATGAGCACTTAAAGAAAAAAGTAAAGCATTGGCTCCACTGGCAACTGTGTGGTGTGTCCAGCCTTCGTCTCGATGAACTCTGCGGGCTCCGAGCCACGATCGGGGAGGCCTTCAAGGCCTTCACCTGTGGCACCGCCACAGGTGGCACTGCCACAGGTCTTGGTTGCCTCCGTGGCATTGCTGGCGTTGTCGCCGGTGGCGTTGTCCTGGCACAAGACAGGAGTGGCCTTGATATTTAACACAATACCAGCGTAGAAACTGCACGAAGGAGAGAGCAGCACCCCCACAGACGTCAGAAGCAGCAGAAAGATGTCGCTAATGACTCCAGCTGATGTATCTACATGAGCTTCCCTCATGGAAATGACAAATGATCACACCGTGTAATTGCGTGATTGCATCTACTTGCCAAGGCCGCGCAGGGTTTCACACAATGTTCACACAATGTTCGAGGATTGCCCCTTCTGATCTCTTGTAGGAGTTCCAGTTCATTTTGGGATGCCGTTGCTTGGCCATTCTCATTGTAGGGAGAATGCCCCTACCTTACCGGCCTTGCCTTGAGAACAAAAACAGCCTGATGGCCTGATCGGACTACTCCTCATCCTATCTCTTGCCTCTTAACTGTTTTCCCTTACAAAGTGCAAGCACCGTGCAAGTGTGAGAGCGAGCAGTTCACACAACTAACCCAAGCACTTCAGACGCGTCTGATGCTCCGGTACTTTTTTCCTATTTCACGTCAAACATGCCTATGAAACCATCCTCAGTTCGGCCTCATGGTTGGCCGATCTCCGCAAGATCGCGTTGGACTGCACTTGGAAAGGAAAGCTCCGGTGCGCCTGCAGCAGTTGCCAGCATCAAGTTCAGCACTGCTCTTCAATGTCGCGGAAGGCCTGACAGCTGCCGCAAGTCACTGGGCACCAGCTGCGAACCAAGTCGCCTTAGACAGGGGGGCCTGCTGTCAGCATGTACCTCAAGAACTGCATGAGGTTGAAGCCATAAAAGTCATCTTCCTTTGCTGTTCTAGTTCCACGCACCCACACTTCAATGTTGCGGACTGACTTCAGCCTGGTGTCGCACATGGCCTTCACGCGATCACACGAGGTCCCGTACGCAGACCAGCGGTCATTGCGGTCCTAGGAGAATGACCCTTGTGGCTCGAAGAACCACGGGGTCCAAGGAATGGGTATATCCTTGCACAGATCTTCCGCATATTCCCCATCTCCTGATCAGGAAGCTTGCCGCTGAGCTTTTGCAGCCTGGCGCCTGCTTCCTTCATGGCCGGTCACCAGCACCAGCGCCAGAGCTAGCGACGCCCATGTCAGACCTCAGCTGCAGAGGTGGCTGTCAGGGCCATGTGCTCTGTGACTAAGGTCGGTGCGCATCTCCCTTGGCAAGGCTCCCCTAACTGCCCCATTCTACCACTTACACCTTTCTTGAGTCGCAAGATCAATTTCTGGCAAGCACTTGAAGACTTGGCAAGATGGATGTTGTGCAACAGAAGTTCCTGAGCAAACACGTCTTTCCTTAACTCTAGAAGTGTTGCGCAAGCACTGCTGTCGCATTCTCAAACAGCCGAATTCCCTGGCACGACGACTGCCATGCCTGTGTGAGACAAGCAGGCATCTCAGACCTGCCCGTCCAGCCTCCAGATTCGAAACAAGTGCGGCTGTTCGTGCAAATCAAGCAACACCCCGCTGCAAGCGCCTCACACGCGTCCGATCTGTCCGACTTGCTGCCGGAGTCGCATGAGGTCCTGGCACATCAGTGTGAGCCGAACGGGTTTGTGTGAAGGCAGGCCATCGGGGCCTTTTGGGCTGAGCGGTTCTCGGGGTCCAGTCGCACGGCCCCCTCCAGCGACCTCAGAAAGGACCAGACGGTGCTGTGCACTTCCCTTCAACTTTCAACTGACTTTTTGGTGGTGAGAATGTGGAAATGTGGCGAAAAGTTTCAGCTGCTGGGTTCATTTCTGGGCTCCGAGGCTTTATGGCCGCCTCCAAGTCTCCCAGTTCAGCTTGGCACCTAAGCATCGCTTCGTCGCTTCATGAAAACACGGAAAAGCTGCAGATCGAGATCCGCACTCTCCAAGCATAGCTAAGGCACAGGGGTCCTCAGATCTGAGTGCATCGATATCAGATTATGCGGTAAAAAGTACTGCTCCTCTGCATTGAGCTGCAGAAGCCTGCAAAGCGACAGCTTTCATTATTTCACCTCTGGCCACTTTGGTCATGCTTTCATTGTTATGAGAGTTGCTCTTGTCATTAATGTGGATCTTGCTAATTGGCCTTAAACGTTGCTTCCGTGCCACGTGCGGTTGTCGAGGCCCTGTTGACTGCAGCTTTGATTATTTTAGGTTGGGCATGGCTCCTCTGCGCTGCTGGTTCGAGAGGACATTCAACGAGAAAACGACAGTGAAGCTCAATGAGGGCGAGACAGCACAGGATCAAAGATCACCCCCAGATGTGAAGGATGCGCCAACTCTAGTCTACCTCCGAAGCGGGGGCCTTCCTGTCAAGGCGGGCTTTGCCTGCATTGAGAATCTTAGCTCTGTTGAACATGTTGTAGTGTACCACTGTGAGAGCTGGATCGCTAATCTTGTGCAAATGCTGGGAGCTTGTGCCCATGGGCGGCCATTTCCTTCAAGCATGTTCCTGACTGCCTGAAGACGGATTTGCTGACAGCTGGAAGGCTGCAGAGGAAAAACTGTGATTGATACAGGTTGGTCCGTGCAGTGAATTGCAATCTTGCGATGTTCATCCTCTTGTCTTTGCAATGGCCAGAGGCCCGAAAATGCAAAGGCACTACTGCCTACAGTGCACACGGACCATTTTGGCGGCTCGAGCAATCCCAGCCCTTCGAAACAGCAGTCACTGCAAGCTCCACAAACTTCAGTACACAACCGACACTCACATCCCTAGTACTTTCTTGAAGTTTTGGGTCTCTAAATCAGGACTAACTTCGGGGTCGTCTTCATCCCAGGGATAGTGAGATTCGATTGCGAAGGGAGTAGCTGAGCTAAGTTCTCAAAGGATGTATGCCCAGCTGCTCGGCGGAGGCGCATCATATAGTCTTTCACTTGTCGAAGTTTGGCTCCAGAGGGGGCATTTGTGGAAGAGAAGTCACCGCCGCCGCGTAGATCTCCTGCTCTGGGGGAGTCTCCAGGACATAGTCCAACACATGCTCAGACACATCGCGGCCCTGAAGCTTGAACCCCCAGCGGATGCCATCCAGGGTCTCCTCCACCAGCTGCATACTTCACGTGCCCATCGGGAAGCAAGTGTTCCTTGTGCCCTGGGCAACAGCATCTTTGGAGTGCAGCAAGCTGGGGACTCGAAGTAAGAACCCGCCACTTCTTGCCATGAGCGCCGGAGGGCTTGTAGAAGCAGCCCTCCACCACCATGTCATAGATCTTGCGTCCACATGAGGTCGCCGAACTCATAATGTTCCCTTTGGCATCGCAGCTCTTCAAGTAGCGAAGGTCATATGGAACTTCCCACGCAAAGTCTCGACCACCTTCAAGCTGCGCACATGCCCCATGAGAGACACGCGCAAGTTCCATGTGCCGCCTTTGCGCCCTCAAGGCGGTTCCTCCTTTGCCCCGGTGCCTCTTCAGCACCATAAGGCAGATCTCCTCGGACAGCAGGAGCAATCCACACAAACGCGGGTTCATCCCCACGAATCTTGGCAGCGATCTTCTCAGCAGTGCCCTTCCGCTCAAGCATCCAGCCAGTGTCTTTGTAGAGGCCTTCGTAGAGGATTTCATATGGCCACCGGCATCCGTGCCATTGATCTCAAGAAGTTGGGGGCTTTCTATTGAATTCAGCAAAACAAGTCATTGCGCACAAAAGGGGCGCGAAGAAAGTAGCCCCAGCAGCATGCATCTGGCGCCTGACGGCTCCATTCAAACCACGGCTGCGCTCAGGTAGCCTGTGCTCCGGAAGGCCCGCAGCCTGATCATCACATCGAAGGAGGCGATCTCCGCTACCTTCGTCAAAAGAATCTGGCTTCCGGAGGGCTTTGGCACCACATTGGCTCACTTGGCCAAGCTCATCTGGCTGGACTTGTCCACCTCGTCCCTGACCAGCAGCTCGGTGCCCAAGGCGTCTTTCAGGCGCTGCTTCACGCGCGCCATCTTGTTCTCCTTGGTCCTGAATGGTCAACCACGCCTCGTGGAGCTCGGTCTGGCCCACCAAGTTCTGCAGGTACTCGCCGTCACCGTTCTCCGACGCCGGAACCAGCTGACGGTGCGCCGAGCTTGCCGTGGCCTTCTCTTTCGTCTTGCCGGCACGTCAAGCATTGCAGGTTGGAGGAGTCGGGCGTCAAGGATTGTTGGCCGCCCTCTTTAAGCGCTGCACCGCCCGGAATCGACGTGGTAGTCGGCGGCGATGTCGGTATCGTCGACGCACGAGGTGGCTCCACGCTGCACTTCTTTTCCATCTTGGTCTTGGTGTCCAACACGATCTTCTCGTTGTTCCTCACGCGGCGTCCCTGCACCTCGCGGATCTTGCCCTGCTCCAGTCGGGAACTCCGCCTCCAGCTCCTCGATGGCCTCGCGAACCACCGCATAGGCTCCCAATCGATTTTGTGACCCCTGTAGCCGCTCTTGACCTCGTATGAAGTTCTCAGGCCGCACATCTGACATGTCGTCCACCTGCCGTACTGGTCCTGTCGGGAGCCACTGCGGGAGTGCTTGCCGTAGCAGGGGTAGCCGGCCTGCCTCGGGTCGTTCAGAGGCGGCTCGCACGCTGCCATTTGTCCACAAAAGGCGATGCAAAGAGAGGCGGGCGCCACTGAGACAGCTGATGAAGGCGAACAACCTGACCTCCAATGACTTGCTGCGGAAACTGCGCACCAACGAATGACATGTCCGCGGAATTCTTGCAGTCAGACAGGCAGTCAAAGAACAGCAAGTCATGGCAAACATGTGGCGCAGAGCTGTCTTGATGTGCTTCTCTTCTTGGAACTCCACTACACATCACGGAACTGTCCTGCAAACTTCCTTTTTTGGCGCTCAACGACCGCCATGCTCCTTTTCGGCCAGACTGGGTCTGGATGAGCTCAGTGGCCCAGAGAGTATTCACGGAACCACAAACACAGCCTCTCATAGGATATCATGCCCCGAGCTCGACGAAGAAACCTAAGAAGAGCCGGCGTGTTTTCTGCATTGTGTGTTTGCGGCCTATGGTCTCGGTCCAAAACATACAACTCAACATGGCCAAGCGCAGCGCCATGAAGAATGAGCTTAGAGCATGCTCGCGGACTAAGACCGTCCCCGAACCGGAACACCGGTCTGTCCTCCAGAGAGACTTGGTGCTTCAGGCCGGTCTTGGCGATGATGGACTGCAACGTCTTCACGCCGACGGCGTTCTCGGTCGCGCCTTTGCGCAAGACAAAGCCAGGCTCACCACTGGCCATCGTCACGAAGGCAGTGTCCAAGCTCATCACCAAGGCGTGCTCCTCACAGTCACTCTGGAAGGCGCATTCCACTTCCGAAGCCATCCTGCCATAGACGGTGTCCAGGGGATTCTTCATCCGGTCGGGCTCGTCCATGAGGTCCATCGTCACCACCTTGGCGCGGGGAATCGTGTCCAGCAGAAAATCCAGGGGCTTGTGGACGAGGGGCTCATCCAAGCAAATGGGCATCCGATTCTCAGCATTCGAGTCCTCTTAGAGCCAGCTTTAGAGCCAGCTTTAGAGCCGTTGCCCGCCGTTGGAGCAGCGCCTTTCTTGCCGCCTTTGCCTCCCAAGCCCAGTTGTCTTCCAAGCCGGCTTGCCAGTAAGCCTCTTCATCCTCGAAGTCGTCCGCAAACCGAAGGTTCTTTCGTCTGGACCCTCGGTTTCCAGGCTCAGATTCGTCAAACAAAACTCGAAGGGCTTGACGGATCTTTTCAAAACCAACCTGCACGCGCTGATCGTTGGTCAAACCAGCAGCTTTCAACAATCGAAAGCCACGCAGCTCGTCCTCGAAGAAGCCCAAGCTTGTCCCTTGAAGATCAGGCTCGGTTGCCGGAGTTTCGTGGCTGGCCGCGGCAGGCTCTCCTGCTGCTTCCTTCTCTCCAGCTCCTTGCCCAGTAGCCTGAGCCGAACTTGGCGAAGCGGGAGTCGAAGAAGTCCTGAAAGGAGGCGAAGCAGAAGACGAAGCCACATCCTTATTCAAACGTGCCCTGGATCGCCACAGGCTTGTCTGCAGCTCCCGGAACAAATCATCCTCCCTGACAATCAGCTCTGGAATGCTCTCATTCTCCTTCCGGCGAAGTTGATGCCAGCGCTCCAGCTTTGAGAAGCTATCAGGGATCGGCAGAGTCTGAAGGGGCGAGCTCCGAAGGACAGAAAGCAGTTTAGCCAAGCCACCAGAGCCATCGAACTCGTCGGGCGACAAATGCTTCACAACGCTCTTTGCCGGTCCGGTGAGTCTCGACCAAACCCTGGCAGCCGCGCCTCGGCGCTCTGTGTCCTTCAAGGTCTTCTCGTACCATTGGCAAGCCACCTCAAACGTCTGAAAACTTCCAGGATCGCCGTCCTTCATCAGCACAAAAGCCTAGCGGGCGCTCCAAGAGCTCCACTGCCATGCAATGGCCAGAGGCCCAAGGATGCAAAGGCACTACTGCCTACAGTGCACACTGACCATTTTTGCGGCTCGAGCAATCCCAGCCCTTCGAAAGAGCAGTCACTGCAAGCTCCACAAACTTCAGTGCACAACTGACACTCACATCATTCCTTTTTCATTCAATCAATGGCGTGCTCGAGATACCTAAAGACAGACATCTTTTCCAGCCTTCTTGGCCATGACGCATTCTGCATTGACATACTGAACTACGACTAGCAGAATCTTCACAAGACCTTGTGTTCAGGATCAGCGTTTCAGCGTAGTGAGCTTTGTGATCGCCTGCTCTTCGTGCCTGCGACACCGTGAGACAGGCCTTCCTTCGTGCGTTTTCCTTCCGCCGGACCAGATCCAAGTTGAAATACGTTTCGTCAAAACTTCCAACTCCTCTAACTCTTCAGGTCAAGCGATGCAAACCCTCGGCACGGAGACTCGTACCAGCGACAATCTACGCAGCGTTCGAGAGCATCTGAATCTGCCAAGTCAGAACGTGGTCTTCCTTTCCAATCGACATGGTACACGAATCGCGAATCGGGCCCCGCAGGAAGATCTCCTGCCGCCGCCTTTGCAAAAGAGAACGGGGGAGGACACGGAGATCACCGCTGGCCACTGGGCCACCGGACCTCTCCAAGCGGCTCCGCTGCCATGCAAAGCACCCTATGCCCTCTTGACCCTAGAGGTAAAGGTTCATGGTGAGCATTGGTCTTGATCGGACATTGCACAAGGCATTGCAAGGCTCAAGTTGTCAAGGCTGTCGGGTGCATGGTATGTGACTGGAAACTGGCTCCTCTTTTTTGCTTGCTTGAATCCCCCATGGGCGGCCGGAGGGTACCCCTGCTCCAGGAGTTCTTCAACCAGCGCGCAGATGTACGGTGCGGGACGGGCAGCGATGCGCAGGCGATACGTATCAGCGCAGCTGACTGTACTAAATGATCAACAACAACTCAGTAGCAACAGTACCAGATGCAGTGAACAATCGCGTGCACCGTCTTGTTGTCATGGATAGTCCTCTGGACCATGAGCAGCGGCAGCAGCAACGGAAGTTAGCAGAAGAAATAGCAGCAGCACAGGAGCAGCAGCAGCAGCAGCAGCAGCAGCAGCACTTGGGCTTGACCGCAATATGATGCTAAACTGACATCGTGCGTGCGAAGCTGTAAGCAGATTGTGATGGATCCGCCTTTTGAACTGCTCTGCAGCCACTGTGATCTGTCCTGGCAATGGTCAGCTCTTGGATTACGTGATGGCCGTGATTGCCCGCCACAGTCAGTCACAGTTGTGCTAGTCCGCCCACTGACAGCGAAGGTCAGGGCACAATTCACGACACTGGCAGTCTTGCATTGGACCGCTTCTTTAGCAGGCAACTATTATTATACAGCAAGCGTGTCAGCAAAGCCCAATTCGCGATGCACGACCCCCAAGTTAAAGAGAGCACCAAGAAACCTTCAATGCCAAAACTTGTATGAACTTCACCAGGGTCTGTGAAAGTCTGAGCCCCCCACTGAGGTTTCAAAGACAATGCAGCCATGAAGGCTTCAACAGCCTGCTTCAGCTGCCTGACACGTCACACAAGCAATTTCAAGCAACCACGCAGACAGGATGAATCAGGCTGATAGATGCCCGGCGCCCGCCTCTGTTGCTGCAGAACAACGCCCTTTCGGTAGCAGTACCTTGAGGCTGGGAGCGCTTGTTGTGAAGCTTGGGAGGACAAGTTCCCAGCGCCAGGCTGTGCATTGAGTGGGTCCAGAGAAACAGCCTGGAGAAAGCATGTAAGACCGTGGTTTATGGTGCTTATAGAATACCCGGCACCACAGCATTCTTGGCTTCCCAGCCCGTTGAAAGAGATACTCCGCTCCAGCCAACTGGGCCAAGGGCATGCCAGTCAGTTCTTCGATGGCCAACTGTTCTCTAGTTGAAAAGCTGTTGTCCTGTCCATGGGCGAGGAGGAATTGCCCAAAGTCATCGCAAACGCTGGCGTTGTTCTGGAAGGGAGACCCAAGAGCCAAGCATCGTCTTTGCAACGCTGCAGAACGCTGCAGGATCAATAAGGCCTCGTCCATCTCCAGGGCATGTGAATATGCCACAAGCGCCTTCTAAGACTTGAGAAGGCTGTCTGTGACAGCATCTTACAGCGATAACCCACTGCAGAGAACCTGCTGAGCATCGCCAGACACGGCAAACTTCTTGGCGGCTTTACATGCCTCCTCAGATGAGGAATACTTTGCCTGAGCATGGCACCGAAACTCTTCAAAGGATCGAAAGCTTTGAAAGGCCCTCTCAGAGCGCCTCGAGAGTAACGCCTCGGTCGGGACCGCAGAAGGGGCTTCCCGTGCCCGTCGGCAGCGGCCGCAGCGCCAGGGACTGAGAGACCCGGTCATGTGTAAAACATCCGGGCAAACCCAAACTATGTAGGCACGATGTAAGCTGTGCAACCTGAAGGAAGAGTGGAGTGCGCGAGTGCGCATGGACATAATTTACGGATTTGCCCAAAATTTCCTCGAATGTGCCCAAGCCTCCAGGAGTGGGCCATGTCGACCGGCTCTTGCCTCACCAAGACAGGAAAACAAACCGAAAGTTGAAAACGCAAGTTGGGATGGAAGCTGCTTCATAATATGAACAATTCTCACTCTTAACTTCCGGCGAGGCCCCGGGCCTGAGTGCAACTGGCACAAAGACGACTCTCTACCCACATCTCATCTACCTCCCCCCTCCCCCTGAGATGTAACCTGTGCGTTACTGCCCTCACAACGGTACAGACAGCAAGGCGGTCAGGTGTCTCTTTTACAGCTGAGGCACTGGAGTGCTACTGAGTCCACACTAGAACCTTGAGCATATGGACATCATGCATTGGCGTGTTGGACATGTGACTGCACTGGCAG